AATTATGTTTTCGAACACATTTCTTGCACACCTTTCCTTGTATAGACCTGGTCTAAATCTTTCTCAACAGCTTGGAAACTGATGCAATTTCATTAGATTCCTACTGACTTAGAGTTGAGCTTCTGGTAAAAGTGAGTGATGCATGTCCTAGAGAAATGAGACTGCTGGAAATACATCATTTCCTGAACTTGACTTGTATCATGACTTAGGTAAATCTTTGGCTGCGGGGCTTGGGAGAATTTCTTTTTCCTTTCTTTTAGAGCATACAAAGTTCTAACTAGTTTGAAGCCCAAACATTTGTTTTAAATGGTGTGAATCCTCAAAAAGTTTTAATACTGTTTTTGAGCAGCTGGGTTAAAGTTAGCTTACATTCAGGATAATTTAATCTTTTTGACACTTCCACACTGGTCTTGCTTTTTTTATTGTGGTTTTAAGATAATTTCTACCTTAATATACTGATTTCTATCACTGTAAAATCCTTTACAGAATTTCAGATTGTGGGGATGACTTTATTCTCTTTACACAACAGAAGTCCACTGGGGCTGTGGTGTATTTAATATCTGCAAAATTTGGTCTTAAACAGGAATTTGCTTTCCTGTTCCTTTTTCTTATGTGGAAAATGGAAGCTGCTACAATTTTGCTAGTAAATCTGTGATGTTGCATGGAAAGGACTTGAAACCAGGGACACTTGACCTAGAGAACTGGTTGGTAGCTCTCACCTTTTCTTTTTAATGTCTGAGGATTGGAGCAGCAGCTTCTCTTTATGCTCTCTCTTGGGAAATTGCACTTTTAAAAATGTTCCAGACTTGACTGCTTTAGATAATAAAGTGGCTAAGGCTCACAAGTGGTAAATCCTGTAACTTTATATTTCCTTTGAAAGGTCATTTGGAGCAGCACAGTGTTTCCCGCAAGATCATGACTGGACTTGTTATGCTGAGATTAGAAGAATCGTATCATTGCTGGTTTTTATACGTCGTTGGCATATCTATTTGCGAACAAGCCCTAATGCGATAAGCTATACTAGGCAAAAGCACCTCCTCAGGGAAGCCAAGTGTACTTCCACCCATGTATTTTAAATCACTTTTTCATTGAATTTCACAGGTTAGGTTAGCATGAAGGTAGAAGATGCTGGATGCTGCTGGTGCGGTGGGAAGTACCACTAAGGTGTGAGGGTGCAGCAGGTGGAGCTCTGTCTGCGTCGGTGTAGAACGAAGGAGCTAATGAACGAGTAGCTGTGTCTTGCTGGACTGCTTCGAAACTTGCCAGCCCAGGTGTTACCCCAATGGACTTGCTTATCTGATGTAACTGAAGATAACGTGCCGTGATAGGCAAATGTCTTTGCTCTGAGTGGAAATTTGCAAAGTTTTGTAAAGGAGCAAATTTCTACCTGGGGGACGTAAAATTAGGTCCTAGGAGGTCTGGGCTCTGAAAGATTTCATAGTATTCTTTGCAGTGATGTAACAGTGGTCCTTCACATTCAGTTTAGGAAAGAGCTCTGCTTTCAGAGCAGAGTTCCGCTCTCTTTCTCTTTGGGAAGGAGATAGTACAACTGGAGTCTCACAATTGCTGCTGTGCGCTGACTGATAGGTCAGATGAAATAATCTCGGTTGCTGCCTCTGCACTGTGCTGATGTTTCTTGAGCGCAGAGGCAGAGCTGCTCTCGCAGCATGGCAGTAAACCTGAAGAAAAGTGGTATTGCCTGGTTTTTGAAAGACTGAGTCAGAAACTGGAGAATGTAAAGCTTACAATACAGACTAAACCCGTGTCTATCTTCCAGACATCTGTTTAATTTTTCTGTTTCTATTGCCTGTTCAGTTGAGGGCTTTATCTAATGAATTTCTTCTGGCCTGCCATTCTGCAAACTATTGAGCAACTCTTGGATCAACTTGTCTCACCTATATGGTGTTGGTCCTCCCGTTTCACTCAAACGTCACTATATCAAGTCTCATTAGTCCTTGTGTGACTAATCTCTGCACGAACTGGCTAGCCTGGGGTGCCACTTATGTCTGAGACTTCTGCAGCCACAAGAAAATGAAGAGATGTGTTCAGATAAATGCAGTGGCCAAACCATGCCTTGTGCTGCAAGAGGAGGTGAACAAAACACAGGGCCAGACCCCAGAGAAAATTATTCTTGACCTCAAATCTGATAGTCAATCTAGTTCCAAGAATAAGAGCAAGAGGGTTTTTAAGTGTATCCTCTGTGTTCTTTGAAACCTCCAATCGCACCCCTCTGTGTGCAGCTCTAGTCAATCTATGATACTTCCAGTTCAGCA